GGCCCGGGGCCTCCAAGGCCGAGGAGCAGAGTGCGACGTCGCTTTCCATCGAGGCAACGGAAATGGGCCCGACCTTTCGCTGGAAAGACTCGAAAGACGCCGTGGAAACCCCGTGGTGTGCCTCGCCGGGCGCCTGCGGCTCCTCCAGGAGCCTGGCGGCGAAGACCTCTCTTGCAAAGAAGGGAAGCGGAAACCCAGCCCTGCGGCGCTTCGTCGAAGCTCCCAAGCGGTTGGCCGCTCACTTGTGACTTCTATTTTGGTTCACCTGTGACTTCTAAGGCTTTCCCTGAGGCGCCTCACTTGTGACTTCTATTTTGGTTCACTTGTGACTTCTCTGACAAACGATTTTGCGACACGTCTGGGCAAAAGTCCTCCAGATCACTTGTGATTTCTCTGATTTGTGACTTGTCGGACAGAACAATTAGCAACCCCTCTCGGCAAAAGCCCCAGCATTTGCCGAGAGGGGTTGCTAACTGTTCTGTATCTTAAACACTACACCTCCTTTGGCGATTCCGGTTCAACACAGATATTAAATACACCCCCTCATTTGGCGCATGCCCCTGAGTCATTGCCAACCTCACGGATCCCGCTGAAGGTTACGGCAACCAGTCCTGCCAACGTTCATCACTGGCGATTTCGGTTCAACATGTATCTTAAACACGCCCCCTCGTTTGGCAATTCCGGTTCAAGATATAGCTTAAACACGGCCCCTCATTTGGCTGTACCGGTTCATCACATGTCTGAAAAACGACCCCTCCTTTGGCAATATTTCGGGTCGAGAAATCAAACACGGTCCCTCATTCGCGACCAGCGGTTCCGGTTCAACATATATCTTAACCACACTTCCTCATTTGGCTATACTTCAACACAAATCTTGAACACGGCCCCTCATTTGGGGATTCCGGTTCAAGATATTTCTTAGACACGCCCCCTCCTTTGGCGATACCGGTTCATCATAAATCTTGAACACGACCCCTCATTTGGCGAACTCGGTCCAACATAAATCTTAAACACGACCCCTCATGTGGCGATTCCGGTGCAACATGTATCTTAAGCACGCCCCCTCCTTTGGCTACACCGGTTCATCATATATCTTAAACACGCCCCCTCGTTTGGCTACACCGGTTCATCATATATCTTGAACACGACCCCTCATTTGGCGATTTCGGGTCAACATAAATCTTAAACACGACCCCTGATTTGGCGATTCCGGTTCAACATATATCTTAAACACGCCCCCTCCTTTGGCTTCAGACATCTTAAACACGACCCCTCATTTGGCGATGCCGGTTCAACATATACCTGAAACAGGCCTCCTTATTTGGCGATTCCGGTTCAACATAAATCTTGAACACGGCCCCTCATTTGGCGATTCCGGTTCAAGATATATCTCAAACACGCCCCATCCTTTGGCTATACCGGTTCATCATGTATCGTAAACACGCCCCCTCATTTGGCGATTTCGCTTCAACATGAATCTTAAACACGACCCCTCATTTGGCGATAACGGTTCAAGATATATGTTAAACACGACCCCTCATTTGGCGATGTTGGTTCAACATAAATCTTAAAGACGGCCCCTCATTTGGCAATTCCGGTGCAGCATATATCTCAAACACACACTCTTCTTTGGCTATACCGGTTCATCATATATCTTAAACATGACTCCTCATTTGGCGATTTCGGTTCAGCATACGTCTGGTTCCCTCACTTGGCGATTTTGGCTCAACATAAATCTTAAACACGACCCCTCATTTGGCGATTTCGAATCAAGATATATATTAAACACGACCCCTCATTTGGCGATTCCGGTTCAACCAACATAAATCTTGAACACGGCCCCTCATCTGGCGATTCCGGTTCAAGATATATCTTAAACACGCCCTGTGCTTTGGCTATACCGGCTCCTCATGTATCTTAAACACGACCCATCGTTTGGCGATTTCAGTTCAACATATATCTTAAACACGACCCCTCATTTGGCGATTCCGGTGCAACATATATCTCAAACACGGCCCCTGATTTGGCGATTCCGGTTCAAGATCTATCTTAAACATGCCCCCTCCTTTGGCTATACAGGTTCATCATATATCTAAAACTCAACCCCTCACGTGGCGATATCGGTTCAACATAAATCTTAAACATGCCCCCTCATTTGGCGATTCCGGTTCAAGATATATCTTAAACAAGACCCCTCATTTGGCGATTCCGGTTCAACATAAATCTTGAACACGGCCCCTCATTTGGCGATTCCGGTTCAAGATATATCTTAACCACGCCCCCTGCTTTGGCTATACCGGTTCATCATATATCCTAAACACGACCCCTCATTTGGCGATTCCGGTTCAACATATGTGTTCAACACCCCCCCCCCCCTCATTTGGCGACTTCGGTTCAACATAAAACTCAAACACGCCCCCTCATTTGGCGAGTCCGGTTCAACAAAATCTTGAACACCGCCCCTCATGTGGCGAATATCTTAAACACGCCCCCTCCTTTGGCTACAACGGTTCATCATGTATCTTAAACACGACCCCTCATTTGGCGATTTCGGTTCAACATATATCTTAGACACACACCCCCATTTGGCGATTCCGGTTCAACCAACATAAATCTTGAACAGGGCCACTCATTTGGCGATTCCGGTTCAAGATATATCTCAAACACGCCCCGTCCTTTGGCTATACCGGCTCCTCATGAATCTCAAAACACGCCCCCTCATTTGGCGATTCCGGTTCAACATAAATCTCAAGACACGCTCCCATCATTTGGCGATTCCGGTTCAACATAAATCTTGAACACGGCTGGGTCTACTCCGCAAGCTCATGAACCTGAAACCAGCCCAAGTGTGCACTTTCTGAAGTGTGGAGCAGGCGTCATGAGGAAATATGAGCCAAACAACAGCGCTCCAGGCGCTCCATGGCGGATTATGGGAGCATTGCTTTGAGCACTCGGGAGGACAACGGGACCTCTTGGGTGTCAAGGGAGGGCAGAACGGAGAGGGAGAGAGGGAGGGAGGACGTCCAAAACCCTTTTAAATGCAGGTTTTTGAAGGCCCCAAAGTGAGAAGTCACAAGTGAACCAAAAATAGAAGTCACAAGCGAACCCTCTACCTCCTAAGCTCCCTGTCCAATCCTCCACGGCCATGGAAGCACGGAGGCGCTCCGAAGTGCTGTCGAAGCTGATGGTCCTCACACAGCCTGCAGCCGTCTCACCGCCCTCACAGTCCTGGGTCCTGGCTTGACCTTGCCGCCTTGCCTGCCAAGGCCCCCAGGCCGAAAAGCAAAAGGCTGCGCGTCGCAGAAGACCGGCCTCTAGAGTCTCGAGTCTCGGGAGGCTTCAAACGAGGGAAGAGCAAAGTCTCACCGCTGCCTTCCTCGGCGCTCTCGATCGCCTGCTTGAGCTGCGCACCGGTCCGGAAGTTCACGAAACCTCCGACACCGCAGATTCCCTGAGCAGGACAGCCCGCATGGCTGCCACAGACAACCACGGGCCGCGCTTGCGATGGCCAGCGCCCCGGCGCCCAGCGTGAGCGGTGCCAGCTCCGGCCACCTCTGCAAATCCAGAGCCTCTGCGCCCCGTGAAATGGCTTTTGAGCCGTCTCTGAGGCTTGGACAAGTGTCGCAGCAGCCAGGCATCCTCTGCATAGTTTACGAGTGCGCAGGCTTTGGCAGCAGCGGCTTTCCGGAAAGCTGGGGAAGCCACTGCGTCGTGCATGGAGCTCAGGCCAGAGTCTTCACCAAGTACCGGCGGCCTACGCCATCTGACTTTCGTCTTGTGGGACAGGCGGCGAGATGTGCCCTGTCGCACGGGTATGCTACACATCTGCTAGCTTGCGAGTGACTGTGGCTGGAACCTGCTGTGTAGAGTCTAGAGCCTGCTTTCGCTGCATTGAAGCTCGTCACTACACGGGGATGCTGACAAAGCAGAATGTGCTTGGTTGCGCAGGACACGGTCAGCTGAATGTCACGAATAGCGATTTGCCTGGGAGAAGGCTGAAGTCCGACTTCGTGGTCAAGATTAGTCTGCAATTCTGGGCGGGCGGGTCCTTACAGACTTCTCCGAGAAAGCATTCCTATTGCTTTTCATCACAAACCTACCAAATTAACTATTGTTCGGCTCTTAAATCCGGCCGAACATACAGGATCATACAGGATGCCCCTGGGTGCTTGGCAGAATTTCTCACGATGCTGTTGCACTGCTCCGTGAATGTATTGTCGAAGATGATGATGATGATGATGATCATGATGGTGTGATGTGTTGCGATGCTGATTGTGCGGGATGATCGAACCACTGGACCTGGAGCCTCACGCTTGCTAGCCTAGTTGAATCCAATGACACTCCAACCCCTGAAACCCAAACAATGGACCACTGACACGGCACTTGAGACTTACCAAACAGACCTCTGCCGGGCGCGGGGCCTGCATATTTCAGCCTAATGACCCCCGATCCTATGGCAAAACCGATCCTTGGGTAAAAGCCCGATTCCTGCAAAACAAACCGCCTTTAAACACCAGAAACCTCTGTTTTTCTATTCAAACCAAGGTACGTCTTAAATCCCGCTCCCGACTTCTACACGTGGCACAAGCTCATGCACACAGCAAAGCAACGGGGATCAGGACCAGGAGGAACCCAAGGTCCGACAAGGCCACTTAGACTTCTGGCAACGCCTTTTTTCCAGACGTCAGCCTCCTTCTCCGTGCCCCAGCGAAGCGAATCTTTGTCGCCCTTGTAGCGAATCTTCAAAAACTCTGCGGGGGTCCGGTCCCTTGCTCCTGGGCTCCCTTGCAACGCAGGCAGGGGGGCGCGCTTTTGTCTAGATTTGGCGCGGGCGGCTACAGGCGGCCCTGCTCGAGACGTGGAAGAGACTAGATCGGGAACACGAAGCACTAACACAGGTTTCAGGTGCTGGAACCTGCTTTCGGGCTCTCACTGTGACTGTGGTACGAAGTGTGCGTACAGGTACTCAGAGGAAGTGCTCTTCTTGCTCCGGGCGATTCTCACAAACCTGGGAAAATGGCCGGCTTGGGGCAGTGTAGCGGCATGCAGCGGCGTTTGGAGTCCTGCCGCCCTGCCTTCTGGCAATACAGACCAGGCGGATGCGCTGCGTGACCTGCACCGCACTGAGAGAACAGGGTGCGTGACCTGCACCGCACTGAGAGAACAGGGTTCCAGCATTTCCGGTCGTTCCGACAGCCAGGCTCCAGGCTCGACCAGGGCGTCACGATCGCACGGGGACCCCGCACTGCCTGGACTGAACACACCGAAGATGGCCGAAGCCACTGCTTGGAAGGGCAAAAGGAGCCTCCAGAGAAGCCATGAGTGGCTCGGTGATCAAGTTCTTGCCTTGCTCCTCTGCCTTCGAGAGGTGAGCGGGGAAAGGAGAGACACGGTCCCTGCACCACTGCACCTCCTTGAGAGCCCCAGACAAGGCGTTTTTGAAGGCCCTGACACAAGAGAAGAGCGGCAAGCGCACAGCAGCTTCCGCCTGCAGGCTGCAGGCTGCAGGGCCTGCGAGCTAGCTTCCTCGTGCCTCTAGCGGGAATGCGCGAGGGAAGCACCCACCCCCTTCCCCTTTAGCTCCGAGGTTCGGGCGGAGAGCCTCCGAGTGCGCCTCGTCGGTCTCCCTCGCAGCCTTGAGCAAAACAAGCATCGCACAGCGGCAGAGCGCCTTCGCCTTCTTCTCTCCGCGAGAAAACACGAACGAAATAGCCCGTTCGGTCGATTTCCAGGAAGCGGGCGCTGGCCACCAGCTTCTGAATGCCCGGAAGCCTTCATCGCATGGGCATCGCAGGAGTGCATCCAAGCGCAGCAGCTCAGTCTTTTCGGCCAAAACGCACGATGGAATCTGCGAAACCCATTCTTGAGTCCTGCACCCTTCACATCAGGGTGCTCCAAAACCGCGGTGTGCTTTGGTGTTGAGAAGTGAAGGCTCCAGCCCAACTATCGGAAAGCTTCACGTTGGAATGAGAGTCGCGAAACTGAGGATCCGGATGCGCAGTGCGGCGGGACCTGCAAGCCTTCACGAACAGTGTAATCGTTTTTGGGTCTTTAAAACTGCTCCTGCCAAGCTCTCCCTTCCTGGGTCCTTGGTCGAGGAGCATGGATAAGAATAAGTGATTTAAATCTGAGAACTACGGTCCGCTGTTCGCGCACGGAACGCTTTTCTGGGCTCCAGAAGCGCCTCCGAGCCAGGACCCCTCCCCCCTGAAGTCGGCGAGTCGGCGTCTGCTGAGAACTGCGGGGCTTTTGAGGGCTCTGCGAAGGGGACTTTCTGGGCCGGAACGGCGCTTCGGCAACGAAGGGGACTCTTCGCCTCCGGGCACCAAAAAATTCGCCAAAGGACCGTAACTTGCAATCTTCGGTGTGCGGACCGCGATGGCTTCGCCGGAAGGTCCGCGAATTCAACTGCTTTTGTGCAGCTTGCAGATTGCAATCAAAAAGCTCAAAAAGGAGGGTTCTGCGCTTCTTGTTTACAGGGAGCAGATCAACACCTCGTCATGCACGTCGAAATCTGCAAGGCCTGGTCCAAACACCGGAAGCTGAAAGAGTGAGAGCAGGCGTTTGCAGGCAGGGAAGTCCTCTGCCCAAGTACGCAAAGCCGCCATAGGGACCTGCAAAAGGAGGGTGCATCCCAGAATCCCAGAACCTCTCGACCTCTGCCAAGCCACAATCCGGTTCAGCACTGCTGTGGTTCACCAGCGGCCTGAGCGGAAAGAGACCGGAGAGCCTCAAAAAAACGCTCTTCACTCAGGGCTCCCGGCGGCAGCCAGGTGTAGTCCGACGCGCCCTGCTTCAGCAGCATCTGAAGGGTGATGGGCTGGAAGCAGCCGCCTGCCACGAAGGCGGATCAAAATCCTAAATGTCATATCTCCTGGAAAGTATGCTCAAGATTACCAACTTGCGGCTCAAAGCAAAATCAAACAGGGATCAAAAAAAACTCGAGCGAGGACAAGGCTTTCTGCCGTCCAACCAGCTGTGGGGCATCGACGTCTCGGGGAATCTTGCTGTCTTAGTGAAGGGGGGCTGGGGGGCGAGAGACACGGTGCCAGTGGCAGGGTGCCTCGGGTCGCAGTAGTACTGGCCGTGGCCGTATGCGTATTCCATAGTGTGCCATCGTGATAGTAACATTAACAACAACAAGTGACAGTAACAGACAATAATCATCATCGTCATAGCCATAGCAACCGCAAAATCGTACTAGTCGTAGCAACAATGAATCGTTTTTGCTGTATTAGACGAACCGTGAGAACTATAATCGTACAGGTGACGGTTACAGCATCAGGAACAGTAAACGTGACAGCAACCGAGCCACTCTAGCCGAACAGTGAGATGTCCAGTTCACCAGATGACTAGGACCAGGAGTCGTGCTGAATTATTGCCCAAACACTTTTTTGCTCCCGATTTGCTTTTCTTTTGCTCATCCCTGTTTGATATTTGTTGATGCCTATCTCCGGAGGCCGCTTGGGGTCGGCAGAAGCGAGTTTTTGCAAGATCTCCAGCGCGGACCGAGTTCGCCCCGGTCCCATTAGCTTGTCGTTAGTGGCAGAAACAAAGAACTACAAGCCAGAAGAGGGATGGTGGGGTGTCGCAGGAATTGGCTGGTGTCTTTGACGAAGGGCCGCGCCATCTAAGTGCAGCAGCGGAGTTTAGATGTGGTGGAATCAGGAAATGCCAAGAAGCAACCCCTGGTCACCTGAGACCCCCTGGCGAACTTTGCATCCGACCCGGAATCGAGAAATCTCAGCGGCGGACGTGCCAGCTGCCGTTCGGCCCACGCATGCGGAACATGCCTGCAGAAGGTCGTTTTGGGGCAGAAGGGCCCGAGTACCCCTGAACTACCAACTAGATTACCTTGAACCCAACAATCATCGAGAGAGAGAGAGAGACATTTATATCTACTTATAGAAAAGTACCATATACATGTACATAGATACAGATATAAGTATGGATATAGGTGTACACTAGAAATAGGTATAGAAATAGGACTAGATGTAGAGGTAGATATGGATATAGATAGAAATACAGGCATACATGAAGATATACATATAGATACCGACATGGATATGGATGTGGGTATGAATATTACACGTAACGATATAGATACGATACGGATATGGCTGTAGCCATAGGTATAGGTATAGATGTAGGTATAGCTATAGGCATACATGAAAATTTCCATGTGCACATACATAATGGGCGCGTGGTTATCCCCCGAAGTACGGGCCCGCAGAGTCGCAATTTCTTAAGGCTCTGAGGTGGCGTTTTGCACCAAGCTATGGGGGAATCGCAGTTCTAGCTTTGCGGTTGCGGCAATTGGGGAATTGCAACTTGTCAGGGAAGCAGAAATAGCAGTAAGCTTATGAGTATCATGAAGGCTTACGTACAAACAAATAAAATGATGTACTGCTAGCATTATGAGATATAACAATACTACATGAAGTTTTGCCGTCAACACAAAGAAATATGACAGAATATAAGTAACATTATGTAAAACATTATGCTACAACGTGTTTACAACGACATGGGACAGAGTGTTGCATTATTTTGGAAATGTTAACCTTTGTACTGTAAAAGTAGCATGATATAACGGACCAGGTTTTCAACTGATGAATAGTGTCGTATGCGACCTAGTACAATACTCCAAGATAGTTCCTTGCATGCCCAAATACAATTTGAGAAAGAACAAATAATACGTCAACACGATAGGATGAAGGATAAGGTGATGTAGTATCCAACGATTCTCTTGCTGGCATGAACATCTTTTAACGTGGTGCATCCTTTTGTATGGTATACGGTATAATGAGTCCAAATTTTGTGAAATAACGCATAACTGAATGTATGATTCAACATGTCATATCTTATACGATGTGGAAAAAAGAATCCTTAATATCTCATGCCAAACTCAAACTATCCAATGCATACTAGAAAAATTTAGTGGGCCGGTATGTAGTATAACGGAGTAATACCGTCGAGTAGACTAGAGCATAGCTTAGTATAGTTTGCTGTAACATGTACTGATGAATACAGAAAAGCATATTGCACTGTACAAAAAAAGTGTATACTATAGCAATCAGTGTAGTTTAGTACAGATTATACAAAAGGGTATAATATACATATTGAAAGATTTTCCAAGCACTCAGGTCTGCAGTCGTTTGGTGTGTACAAAGGGCAGGGATCACTTCTATCACCCCGCCTCGGTGGCACCTGCTTTTCAGCAGCAGGTCCACCGCTCTCCAAAATCTATACAAATCTCTGGGCTCACCCGCATGAGGTTCCCGATCTTAGCCACCGAATCAACATTGGCACTGCTCTTGCAATCCTTCAGCATCTTCGCCACGGCTCTCCGTTAGGAGTCTCGGTTCACTAGCTCGCTGCTTGTCCTCCCTCGTAGGCTTCGCCGTCGGGGAGCACAGCACCCATGGAGAACAGCAGTTCTCTCACCCTCGGTCCACCGAGGAGCTTCGTTCCCAAATCACTGGGATTTTCGGTGCCAGGGATGCTGGAGACAGCCAAGACGCCATCCTTCACCGCCTGCTGCACCCAGAGCAGCCCACACTGGAGATGCCGGATGCGTCCACATCCCAGGCACTGGCTTATGCCTTTGCAGGCCGCGCTGTCGGTCCTTGCTCAGGTCTCCTCGTTGCCAACAAGGAAGCGGATGCAATCAGCCAGGTATATTGCTTCCGCCGCGCCACCCACCAGGGCGACGAATTCACTTTCGCCCGAGCTTAGCGCTGTGTCCCGACAAAGCTGGCCACCAGGCTGCCCCCAACGTAAAGTTGGGCAGCTGTCAGCTGTCCTGCTCTTTCTTGTCCTGCGGCAGCTTGCCCAGTCGGCGTCTGTTATCGGCTCCACTATGACGGCGGAGTCTTCTCCATCAAGAGAGCCATAGCCTTCGAAGTCGAAGGTCCTGCGGTTGGCAACCGCCTTGATCATGAAGCCAATCTCCGGAGTCTGGGCTAGGTAGCCCACCACTCTCTTCGCCCACTTTTGCCCGGCCTTGGTGGGGCTGGCATCTTAGAGCTGAGGATGCACACCGCAAATTGGATGTCTGGCCTTGTGTGGGAAAGGTAAAGAAGGCGTCCCACTGCTTCCCGGTACTCCTTGGCTTCCTTTGGCCCCAAGTCCCCGCTGTTGTCGACATCCAGGAAGGAGGCATCTGAGAGGGCATCGCGGCCCTTAACGCCTTAAGGTCCTTGCCCAGGCTCTTGAGCAAGGCCTCCAAGTAGCGGCCATTGGAGTAGACCGCAATGCCGCCTTCCATCATGATGTACTTCCTCTTGAGGAAGCTCAGCTCGTCCCTCACAGCCACCATTGGCTCTGAGAACTCCACCTGCACTTTCTCGGTCAAGATCTTCTTGAGCTCCTCCCGCTCCTCCCGGGTTGAAGCCATGAGCCCATCGTCGGCATGGAGGATGAGCCCCGCCTTGGTGTTGGAACCCTCCTTCTTGAAGAGGGTGGGCTGGGCTCTTTGGGGAAGTTTGCGAAGCTTCCCTTGTGCAACAGGTTCTTCGCGAATTTGTACCACGCGCTGGCACTGGCCCCGATCTTTTGACCGGCCAACAGCTTGTCCAGAACCAGCGTCACCATGCCAACTGCCCCGTCACCGAACATAGCGGCATCCACCTCGATCGTCATGGGCACCGGCTGGTCCACCTCGAGGTACGCATCTTTAAAGTCAAAGGTGCAGAGCTCCTGGCCCCACCTGAGGGCCACCGCCATGAAACCATGAATCGCCGACAAAGTGCTTGCTGGAGCGAAAAGCTCCTGGGAGTATGGAGAGAGAGTTTTGAACTCCCTTCCAACAAGGCGGCTGCCGCGCTTCCAAGTGGGACGTCGGCGCCAATCGCGCACAACCTTGGTTGTAAGGCTTTGGTATTCTTCAACCCGCTTGCCTTCCCTGGGCTATCTCATGACCCCCATGCCCATTGATCTCGATAGCGTCGGCTTCGGCGTCCACTTTTGCGAGGTCTGCCTCACTGAGCTCCGGCGGGTGGTCGCCGTCTTCATTCCATACACCTTCAAAGTACTCTCCTGCAAGCTCACGCTCCCTCCATGGTCTCGTGCACCTCCAGGCCCCAGTTGCTGAAGTCGGCTAGCTCCTCTGTAGAAATGTCACCCGTCACGGCACGGATTCCTGCAAAGGGTGGGAACCAGGTTCACCAGGTCGCGGTGGGTCAAGTAGAAGCCGCGGTCTCTTTGGATTGACCTCTCCCACTGGCTCCGGCCTTGCCCCTTGATGCCCACTCGGACCACTGGCTGTATCCATTGCGACTGGCACTTGTGGACCTGAACGGCTAGAGCTCGAAACATCATGACCCGACGGTTGTGGTAGATCACGTCGCTCTTGCTGTGGCTGCTGGCTGCCACTTCTAAAACCAACATCGGCTGGCCCTGCGCGCCGGCTTCGGTTGGGCCCGACGATTGTGGTAGATCACGTTGCTCTTGCTGCTGTTGGCTGCTGCAAGCCGCCCTTGGGGAACTCGAGGAAGAAGAGGAATTCGAAGCTCCGGACGCTGCCTCGTCGAGGTTGGGCTTTGGAGTTCCCGCTGCGATTGACTCGGCTGCTGCCCGGCCGGCTGCCCTTTCCTGCAAGGAGGCATTGTCAGCCAGGAGCGGAACGCTTGCTCTGGCACCCGTATAGAGGGGTCTCCTCCTGCGAGTCTTCCCCATATAACTCCACGCGAGCCCGTGCACTCCAAGGACTGCGCTGAGACGCCATTTCTGGTCCTCCGGCAGGCGGCGAATGCTCCTGCTCTCGTAGGTCCCGTCGGCTGTGCCCACTATGTGGGCATTGTTCCTTTCTTTGACTCCAAGCCACACTCCTCTACACCATTGTAGGTCACCCTTGTGGGCGGTGGAAGATCACCTGCTCACAGAAGGGAACCAAAGCTCCTTTGTACTTCCGCCGTGTAGGATTTCATAAGGAGTGGAGCGTCGGGATCCGACAGTAAACCTGTTGCGGAGGAAAGCCGCAGGACGAAGGAACCAAGAGTACACATGATACTGATAATGCCCTTCGATGCGTCCCTGAACCCGGTCCCCGACAAAGGCCTTCAAGGTCAACGCGTTTCGCCTGATGGTGTCCAGGCCCTTTCCCACTCGGCCGTTTGACCCGTGGCTGGCCTTCACAATCCACCTCGTCTCCGTCTTCAGCCCAAGCTTGGCACGGCACGCGCAGACGGCATTCACCACCTGCTTGGCTGAGGGCTCGGTGTCACTCTGAAACACAATGGTGCCACCCGGGGAGACCTGCATGCTGAGCCTCACAAGGTGCTCGGTGACGCGCTTCAAGGAGCTTGCTCCCTTTTCAAGCACCAGCCGGTGGTTGACTCTGCGCCCAAAAGGCACAAGCCATACTGGTCACGCACATCAACGGCTCCATCTTGCTGGCCCTCGCCTTGCTCTCCTTCTTGACCGTCTGCTTGGCCTACTTGGTTGTCTGGCTGCCCTTGGTCGTCGCCTGGCCGGTCCTCGTCGTCAGCCAGCTCTCCCCTAAGCTTTGTGAAGGTGCACTCGTAGTCGATCTGGATCACTGGGTCGCTCTGCTTGTTGTCGGGGAGCTCGTCGCCTTTGGGTTCTTCACCCTGGTTCCGGTGAGGATTTTGCCGGCTCCTCCCCAGCAAGCAGGCTTCACACCATGGTTGGAAAGGGTGGTGCGTGACGTTGTGCAACTCCTGCTGCCGGCTGGAGGGTAGAACTGGCGTCTTGAGCAGTCCTGGCTCGCGCTCTTGCTCGGCGAACATTTTCCTCGCCACCTCCGATGCCACCTGCTTCTCCAAGTTCTCATAGTGAACCCGAAGTCGCCGAAGTACTTTGTGCTTTCCCCCGCTGACAGACAAGCCCAGCTTCCGGCACAACTCCTTCAGGTCCTTGAGCGGGGTCGCCACCGAGAGCGTCACGCCTTCAAGCTCCTCCTCCTTGTCGCCCTCACCCTCGGGCTCTTGAGGCCGCTCCTCTGCAGCCATCTCGTCAGGCAGGTCCCCCACTCCGGCCGGTCCGTCCACCATGGGCACAGGCGGGCTTGCCATCGCTATATCTCGCCGGCTCAAGGTCAGGATCAAGCTCTCGAAGAAGCCTGGGTGTGTTCTCAAAGTCCTCGACCCTGCATCCACACGTCTCCGGCTTCAGGGGGCTTCTTGGCGGGCTCGACTCGCACAAAGAGAGCTCCACAAGCTTTGCTCCACATTGATCTCCTCCACGTTGTGGGCCACAGGGAACGGCAGCCCGCTGCGAAGTATGCTCCAGCCGGGTCTGCCAGCCAAAGCCTCCGCTTCAGGAGGGAGCCGGCCCAAGTCGTCAAAGGTCATCATGTTCACCTGCTGGGGCTGTGTTGCAGGGGCGGCTGCTTCACTGCAGCCGGCGGCGGCAATGGAAGCCACCGTTGCCAGCACCGTCAAAGTGTTCCTGCGCAAGCGTATTGGGACTTTGTGCCCACCGCTCTCTATCACAGGCTTTCCCCCGCAGGTTCCCAACGACCATCCCCATCGCAACAAGCGCCCCATGGAGACAATAATGGAGGAGACCGGGGCGACGCAGAACTTCTCCTTCAGCAGGATGGGGGTGCCCTCGGTGGTCTCGACCTCAATGTCCAAGACGCGGCTCTCCTTCTCGGGGATCCTCTTTCCTTGGGCGTCTTGCATAAGAATCCCAGACCGCTTTGCCGGCTTGCCAAGCATGGCCATCTTGAGAGGTGCCACCGAGATGTCGGCACCGCTGCCGATCACCACCTCGGTCCGTCGCCGTCCGTCACAGGCTCGGCCTCGGGCTGCAGGTCCCCGAAGAAACCCGCAACAGCCTGGGGGCACTCCATCACCATCACCTCGGCACGGGTCGTCATCATCAAGCTCTGTCATGTCGAAAACCTCCGTGCGCCTGCAGCTCCTTGGCGTTTCGCAGCTGAAGGTCTCGACCCTGTAGACTCCGTGCCCCGCCTAGGCTTTCAGAGCTGACGCCGAAGAGGGGACCGAGGAGGCAGCCGTAGACGCACTGGAGGACATGGTTGCTGAAGGGCTCGGCTCCCTTTGCCTTTCTGCGGGCACTCATTTTTCCAATGCCCTTTCTTCCAGCAGAGGGCACACTCTTGCCTTTTCCTCCGCCTGGCTGCGAGCCTTGGTTGCTCCAGCCTTGGCTGTTCCATCCTCCAGCGCCATCTTGGGCAGATTGCCACCCACTCCACTGCTTGCCGCCTTGCTGCCATCCTTTCCCATCACCAGGCTTGCCCTTCTTGCCTTTTCCGTCCTTGCCCTTACTGTCTTTGCCCTTTCCGTTCTTGCCCTTGCCGTCTTTGCCCTTGCTGCCATACTTGCCGCTCTTGCCCTTGATTCTCCATGGGCTGTGGCCCGTGCTGGCTGTTGTCATTGCCCTTCCCGGTCAAGGACGTAGACAGGGGGCACTGAGGCTTTCATACCTCAAGATCCATTCCCTCACGTCGGCATACTTTGTCGTGGTCTGCATTTGCAGCTGGACTTGGCTCTTCAAGGGCTCGCGGAGCCCCGTCACAACCGTCGCCAGCACCAGCTCCTCAGGAAAAGCTTTGCCGCTGCTGCTTTCATAGGTCCGCAGCGCCTCCTCATACCGGACCAGCTGAGAGTGCAGGTCCTGGTGCTCATCAAAGCGCCAAGCGGCAAGCTGCCGCACCAAAGCCAGCGATCTGGCTTTCTCCTTCGACTCCATCTCTTTCTTGAGAAGCCGCCAAGCCTCCAGCCCGTTCTTAGCCATTTGCCGCACCAACAGGAGCGGCCGTCCTTTGAGCACACTGCAAAGAACGCCAAACAGGCGCTGCGACCGCCCTTCTTGAGCATCTGGGATCACAGCGTGGTCGACCTCCTTCTCCTCCTCAAGCCCAGCAAAGTCTGCCTCATACTCGGGGTCGTTGGCCACAAGCCAGTTTGTAAACTGGAAGGACCATTCCTTCCAGGTCTTCAGCTCCTCCTCGCGGTTGGTGGGCTTCCATTGTTCCACCTTCAGGCTCTTCGTGAGCCCGTCCAGCTTGTTGCTCGAAGCGCTCGCCTCAGCAGCCTGGGCTGCCCTTTCAGAAGTATCAATAAGCTTCCGAAAAACTCCATGAAACGCCTGCTCCAGGCGCTGCTTCACCAGGCGGTCCACATCATCCGGGCTCATCTGTAAAGCCGCCTGTTGCTGCGGCTGCTGCTGCGGCTGAGGCTGAGGGGCTGGTTCATTGCTCTGTCCATCCATTGCACCTCCTTGGCCGGCTGCCAGTTGAACCTCGCTTCCAGCCTTGCTCCTCCTCGGCACCAAGCGTGCCCTGCAGCCTCTGAGCCCTCCAACGGGCGATTCCGGCGCTGCCCCTCGCTGGGGACTTACACAGAAGAGACTCTGCAGGCAGAGCGAACTGCAGCCGCAGGCCAAAAAAAGGAAAACTATGACTCGGGAGGCCCTAATGGTTACAAGGGCTCTGGGTCCCGGCCCTGGAGCTGGCCCCTTATCCAGACACAAAGGAATGGAGTTTGAGCTCCCAGCTCCGCTACCATGAAAGATTTTCCAAGCACTCAGGGCTGCGGTCGTTTGATGTGTACAAAGGGCAGGGATCACTTCTATCACATATAGTATTTGGAGTTGCCTATCGACCAAATTGCTATGCGACCCGACAGGGTTAGATAAGTCCGTGCTCTGTACATGGGAGCTGGTCGGTAGCGCGCGCATCGGTGCGCGTCCTCCACTGGACAACTAACCAGAGATACACAAAACCCTAAACCCTAAACCCTATACCGGTCTACATCCGGGACCCAGTCAGCGAACAGCGACAGGGTCGGATCAAGGCCTCATGTCTTCCCCAGCTGTGCAAGAAGGAGATGTAATATGGTACATAGTCGAGTATACAGAGTAGTATGTAGTAGCATATGATGTAGTATGCTTTATTGTCAGTAGTACCGTGCACATTACAAGTCTTATTCTGAGAGACGTAGTGCAGTCTACAGTGTAGTCTATAGTATATAGAACGGCAAAACTCAATTATAAAAGCAGATAACGTAATGGGATAGAGGAGAAGAGAATATCTGAAACAACCTGAAACATAAGACAATGCAGTGTAAGATGACATAGTACAACAAGAGAATATGACCTAAATTGACCCAAGGGTCTTACTGGCTTTTTTGGAAGCCTCTAATCTCAAAGATCTTGGTGAACCGAACCGAGCACCGATGACTTGCTTTGCTCATGCTCTGGCACATACAAAATACAATACAGTGCGAGGTTGTTAAACTGTTAGATGTACCGAATAGTCAGAAACAGTCTGTCATATCATATTTAATATCGTAGAATATAGAATGACTGTAAAATCTCATACGAGCTAAACGGTTTAGGGGTTGATATCCTTCAAGAGCTGGGGCTCTTGAAGACCTTGCCTAGACATCAAAATGGTTTGCTGTCCGAGTGACCGGCAGCGGGTTTACGGCAGGCGTGCGTTTCGGAAACAAGCGGTGTTTTCGAAACGCACACCTGCCAGCAACGTACAACCCACAACCCATCAACCCACTAACCTATTAACCCACTGACCCATTAACCCAATAACCCAATGATTTGCCCAAGTGAGGATAGACCGGGTTAATGGGTGTTAGTGGGTTGCGGCTACCGGGGTGTTTCGAAACACACACGGACTTTCGAAACAAACCAAGACACACAACGCAGAACGACGCTCTGTGTACGACACCAGAAACACAGGAACCTGCAAAATCGCAGGGTGGGATAACTGCCTACCTATTTAGATGTATACACTTGCTGCATGTAGACATTGTAGACAATACATGTATACCTATGATATACATGCATGCATATCAGCGTTGTTACGATTATTCGTCTTACCCTTATGCTTACTCATTTGCGAGAAGTGCTGTCCTTCTTTGTCCCTTTCCTTCATCTTATCCTTATTCGAATTCCCTTTTCGCTTTCCTCTTTTCCAATTACTGCCATTTTTGTTGATGATACTCTTGTATATGATATATTCCTACCATTATGATTACTCTCATTGGGAGACCCAGTGGGGCGGCCCAGGATTTACATTATTGAAATCATATCATTCTTGCTAGTTGCTACTCGTCCTCTAATTGCTCATGGTGCCTGGGCGGTCCGAATCTCAGGCGACCCTTTGGGTCGGGCACTGCAGCGTTGATGTGCACTGGCTGGTAGTTGTCGTCCTAAGAAGACAGCTCAAACAGAAAACCAGAAGACAGCTCTCAAGATTTGAGGGTTGCTTTGAAATGTTTCGGAGTTGGAATGTCGGGCTTACAGCAATCTGAAACTTGCCAAGCCAAGTTGCAAAGTAGACAAAGCCACCAACAGTAAGGAAAGCCACATCGGGGTCCATGCTGGCTTCCGGCTTCGGAAGCTCCGATGTGGATGACTTCCAGCTGCGGACCAAAGAGAAAGGATAGCCTCACGCACGTCTCCTATTCACTCCAAGCCTCCGAGACCCGCATTGGCAGATGTGCATTGGATCCCTGACGAAGGCTCCCTCCGAAGTGGATTCGCCGAGCGGCTCCAGGCAAAATACTGCCCTGCTGCCGGGATCTTCAAGCGTCTTCGTTCCGCCTCCGGAATGTTCAGTGCCGCGATCGCCGACCTCGTTGTCAAAGGAAAGCACGAGGAGTTCAAAAGAGAGAAAAGGGACCACGCGTGTCTTTTCGGCCCGAGCTGCATGCAAGATGTCGCAGCTTTGTGAGGCTTCAGCGACTTGCAGAATACGCTCATCTGCGAGGACTCCTTGGGACAGAGAGGTGGCACACATTCGCTCGCCAGCTCTGCGCGGAGCGGAGCGCATCGCGCCACGGGTTGCGGCTGCGGCCGGGCAGCGGGGCACTTGAGCCGGGAGAGGTCGCACTCGAAGCTTCTGGGCTGCTGGAACCAGCTGTCAAAGTGGCCTTTGAAGACGGTGAGGTGGCCGGGCTGCACGTACTTGGTCGGAATGCAGTTGAAATTGGGAAGCGCCTAAGACTCTACGGGAAACAGGACGACAACCCTTGAGGCAAGGCAGCCAAGCCCAACTCGAAACTGATTCGGCGCGCCTTGGGGAAAGCTCCCACCGCTGAGGGCTCACCAGAAACCACGAGGGGGAAGTAGATGCAGCTCTCGAGCTTGCCCTTGTCGGCATGCTTCTTGCAGAGGTCGTGGAACTGCTCGGGACCCAGCTCTCCATCCATCAGCGTGGCGCTGCCAAGCAAGGAGACAGGGTCCAAGGTCGGGAAGATGCTGCGCAGGCCACGGCGGAAGAGCGGATCGTTGATGGCGACCACAAGCTCCGTCATGGAGATGGTGCCGTCATCATTCATGTCAAGCATGTGAAAGAGATGCCGGATCTTGGACATCACGTCCTGCTCCAGGAACTCCATCAGCAGCTTCTCCGACAAGAAGTGGACTGAGCCCTCCTCGATGGCCGTGGCCACCTTCACACACAGCTTTAGCCTTTAGCTCTCACCATCAGAAAGCCCAAGCCCGAAAACCCCGCGCCCGCACCTGGCCTCTGCGTTGCTGGACACGGCATACTCGTAGCGAAAGCCCTGCACGTGACTCCTGTGTCCACGAAAGCCGAGAAGAGGGCAGAGAAGGTGCGTGAAAGAGCTTCAGAGCGACCCTTGCTGAAGCACCACAAGGTCCAAAATCGATCAGCAGATCTCTGATTGTTCACAGTTTAGCATTTCCCAATTCCTATAGTAATGGCTCATATACTGCCCCGCTTGACCGAGGCACAGCAAGTACTGCGACTCATCATCGGTGTTCTTCAGCTTGGCTTTCACGAAGAACTGCTTGCCTGAAGAGTCACAGGTCACAGGTCCCGCAGCTCACCACACGCACCCGCCTTCTTTTGTGGGCTTCGTGAAGCGACCCACGAGCGGATCACAGCCCGGTGTGATGCCGGGGCCGACGGAGTAGTCGAAGCCCTGGCCCTGTGCGCACAGCAGCTGAGCAGCATGTGCAGCGCTGCAGCGCTGCTGTTAGAAAGAAGCCCTCGTTTGGACGAGCCCGCCAAGCCTTGTCCGTCTCCCCGTGCACGCACCAAGCGTGGCCACGGTACTCGATGCTGCAAGCCGCGGTCCCGCGGTTGTCGCCCTGGAAGAAGCGGTTGGCTTTCACGTCACCTGACAGAGCTGAGAGATAGAGAGGGCTGAGAGGGGGAAAGAGCAGAAAGCAGAAAGACAGCATGTATGAGCTCAGCGTGTCCTCTGCAGAGACGATTCTTTTGGGGGGGAGAGTGGCGCGGTTGCTTCTGCCCGGTCACTGAAGGAGGTGTCGCCCATGATCAAGGTCACCCCGTCGTGCATGATCACCGTCGGAGCGTTGCCGTGCGGGGTGTGTCCCACTACCACGAACTTCACGCCATACTGCTTCAAGTACTCCACCATGCTGTCCGGCAAGGGAAGGGGCATGCTCTGCTCCGTCAAGTACCTGAGATCAAAGTGGAGACACCGACAAAAAGGATCAAGGAGTGCCGTGCCGCCCTGCCCGCCTGCAGTAGATGACGGTGGGATACCGGGTGCCCGGGGTGCCGTAGGCGATCAGCTCCGAGGCCCCGCGCTGGGACCAAGACCTGGAAAAGAGAGCACAGAGAGAGCGCAGAGAGAGCAGAGCTTAAGCGAGCTTAAGCTGCTTCCTTGAAAGAGAGAGACCCGAGATCCGTCAGCCGACGGAGAGGACGTGACTCGGCCGGCACATTTGGGTCAGGCGGCTCGAAGGTCGACACTTTCGGCGGCACCTCCCACTGCGGACGATGCTGCCAGTCCCTGACGTGCAGATTTTCCGAAACATGGAAGAAGCCCTCTTCTGCTGCTTTGGGCACGGTGAGCCTGATCTCGGAGGCTGCCCAGCTGTTGATCTTCGCGATCCACGTCCTTGGTCACAGCTCGATTCAGGCTCTTCTGGGACAGTGGAGCGAAGGCGAAGGCACCGGAGCTTTCCCTTTCTGCTACCCAGGTGGCTCCAGACACTCCTCTCGTTGTTCCTGCAGAGGGGGCGGATTGCCATGCCGGATCAAGCGAACCCGCGGCAGAAGTGAAGGGGTCAGTATGGCTCTTAGGCTCCACTTCAAGTTGGTGTGACCGGTGTCTGAGTTCTGGAGCATCGCCGTTGTTGAACGCAATCCTTCGTATACAGTGTACAGCCCCTGGGGCTGTACAAGTAGGACGATGGGACGTTGCGTGCTGATCTTCTTCGACGTCCCTTGAAAGATGACCGTGACACTTGTAACTTGTGACACTTGAAAAGCATTGTTACAATCCTGCCAGAGATATCTTGAAAACCGCGGGACGCGTGCGCGCACGCGCGCCTCACCAGGTACCACGCCCAAGCTCCATGCAGTATTCTCATCATCTGCCCCTGTCAGGGAAGCGACATCCTATGCTAAAAGGCCGCCGATCTGCAGCCCTGGCCTATGACTTGATCCGGTGGGAACTGGTTGCCAATGATCTGAGGGCGAGAGAACTGATGACAGAGAGCTTCGGATCCTGTCTTAAGCGAGACCTGGCCATGAACGAAGAGCGTCCCGTCAATCAGGAGAGCGAGCTGCCCGAGGTTTAGGAATTTCCTGGACACGACATCTCTGTCACCTGTGCAGGAGCCCACACCAGCCGCACCGGCCTCATCACACCACCCGGAGCGACACTCCGCTCGTAGCTCTCGACTACATCCTGCATGGCGCAACCAACCAATAGGGGGGCAATTGCAGTGCTGCCTTTCAGGGAAGGTCCGACTTGTGAAGCGCGAAGGTTCAATGGACATGCACAAGGCGTGGTTCGCTTGCATTCTCCAGGCCTCGTCCGTGACCTCCTCCTTGCGCACGTTCAGCAAGTGGGCTAGTTCCTGCGGCTGAAGGGCAAAGAGTAAGGAAAGATGTGGACTAAAGGCTCCAAAGGGGATCTGTGAACGTTGAAGGCTCTTGTTTCCCCGCTTTCTTCCGCCAGGCGCCTCTCGCCTGAACTCGAAGTCCCCCACGGATCCCATGTCGCAGTCCAGCATGTACCGTAACCTCAAGCAACTGGAGTTGCAAGCAGCCCTTGTGGAGCGGCATGCTGTGCTGCAGGCTTGTTCGCTTTGGTATTCCGATTCTGGATCATCCTCTCCGTCACTTCATCCTGAAGCTGCAGAGACTCGAGACTGGTCCTCTCACTGGCACCAGGGCCTAGGCGCCCGCCTCGTTCAAGCCCTCCTCCTGTGCGACCGTTCTCCTCAGATACTCCCAGTGCGTGGGACCTGAGGATCTCAAGCGGCAACGCTGAGCAACATGCCCAAAGCACTGGGACTCGGGTCCAAGCAGTTGCCGGGGAGACGGGACTGCCAGAAGGCCCGAGGGACCTGAAGAAGGAGCTGACAGCCCAAGCCCAAGCCGCCCGGGGACCCTTGCTTGTCTTCACCTCTTTGATGCGCTTCAGCTCTGACGGGGTCAGCTCTGAAGTCCATCTCATCTTGTTCAGGTCCTCAGCTCACAGCCGCTCTGTCGCTCTCCCCCCAAGCGCGCCCTTGTCCGCCAGGCTGCTCGATTGCCCAGGATCAGGAAAACTCTGGAGGGGTATTTCCTCGGCAAATCGCGATCTGAGAGGCGCCTGAGCGGCGCCTGCAGACCTGCGTGAGCCGTCGCCTCTTCAGCATCACCATGGCCTCCAAGAAGCGCAGCGTCCCAGGGCCTTCCAAGAAGCGAGCAGTTGCGGGCTGTTGCCCGTGGGGGGGGGGCTCGGCCGGGCCTTTGTCGCAGCCATCTCCGCCGAAGACAAAGAGCCAGCCGTCAGCCAGCTCCAGCTCCTGGCAACAGCAGCCAAGCAGAGCCGACTCCGACTCTTGTTTTGCTTCACTTGCTGTCATTCTCTGATTCTCTGCGTCTTGTGCAAGCAAAAGAAAAGACGCAGGCGGTCCAACTCTTGCGAGGTGCGAGCCTTGCGGCCGTCCTCGGCAGCTCTACTGACAGCTGCCGAAGCCCATGCCTTCGTGAAGTCCAAGCAGCATTGCCCGGCAGCTTGAACTTAACCCCCTCACAGAGCTCCACAAAGTTGCAGAAGAAGTCCCAATGGCCCTCCACGTCACAAACCTCAGAGTGCCAAGAGTCCCATGTAGCAGAGCGGCAGCCCCACATGTCGCGGCAATTCTTGTGTGGTCATCTGCTCAACTTGGCTCCGGCACATACGCTATCCGCTGAGCTTTCCGGACGGAGTTTCGAGTGGCCTCGTCGGGCATGAGGCAATGAGATGCCTGGAACTTGGCACAACGCCGCCGCCTGGGAATTGGTGGCAATGCTGGCGGCACGCCCGCAAGCCGTCCCCATGGGCGATGAACTGACAACACATAGGCCAGAAAGGACCTATTAGACGTATTGCACGGAAGATGCTGCCTGGTCAAGGGGCACTTTTGCTAGTGGGTCAGGCCACGGTGGGGTGGGGCTCAAGCGTTGGTCCTGCCACTGTCTCCTGTGTCGCGTGCTTGCGGTTTAAGCTTGGGGACTGTCTCCTGGGAGGGGCAGAGAGCAATTGGATTTCTATACACGTCGGCCATGTCTGAAACCGGTTTGGCTGATCTTTCTAAATGCCCCTAATCCAAAATATCCAAATGGCTGCATGCAAGGAGTGTCTCGTGCTGAGATCGCGCAGCCAAGTTGCGAAACTTCCCCCCGCTTCACAATGCAGGCGCCTCTGCCAGCTGCCCCCACTGGCCTCCGAATGAGAAAGCGGCCCTTTACGCTATGGACACGATTGCGATTGCGGGCGCAACTGGCGCTCTTTTCCGCATGGCTCCCCGGCGTGCTCTGACCACGTCGTAGAGCGGGAGCGAGAGCGAGAGAGCGAGACCGTGCCATGGCTTTGCTGAGGTGACCCTGCCGCGGCCGAGTTTCAGAAACGCCTGCACCTCACGACGAGGCTTTCTAGGCGGCAAGATCTTGAGCCTGCGCTTCGCGGACTCGGGCTGCTCGCTCAGCCTCTGCCAGCTCACTGCCTTGTTACGAAGCGCATGAAAGTGTGTGGAACACCGACCATGCAGGCGCTCCTCTGGAATAGCCTTTCTGAGGCCGGCTCTCAGTGAGGCACGATCGCTGAAGGCCCTTCAGTGCGGCAAAGCTGAGCTTGCTATAGCTTGCTGTGCTTGCTGCACACACACACACACACACACACACTCAACACGAGCCAGTCGGACACGGTGCAGAGATCCAAACTTCCCAGCCTGGTGCCACACACTTGCGACACTGCAGAGACACCCGATGATTGCTTCGTTGGCTTCTCTCTTCTTTGGCTCCAGCTGACCACTCTCAACCAATCGCTCCAGGACCTGGATGCTGTCCTGACTCAAGATCGCTAAAAACACTAGAAGACAATTGGCCCGAAAGCATCATCAGCGAAGATTGTGGGGCTATGTGATAGATCCAGTGTATAGGATCGTAAAGTCACAGAGTCAAGAGTCATAGAGTCCATGAGTCATGAGTCATCAAGTCATAGAGTTGCGGTGAGATAGCGTCATAGAGTCATAGTGAGATAGAGTCACGGAGTCATGGAGTCATCTATGTACCATGCACTTGACTCGATGTAGTTCACTCTATGCTCTATGTGTGGGAACGCTTAATCGAGATCCCCATAGCGTGAGGGCGCATAGCCTGACCTGGACCTCGAGAGGCACATACAGTCAAGAGTCATAGAGTCCATGAGTCATGAGTCATAAAGTCATAGAGTTACAGTGAGATAGCGTCATAGAGTCATAGTGAGATAAAGTCACAGAGTCATGGAGTCATCTATGTACCATGCACTTGACTCGATGTAGTTCACTCTATGCTCTATGTGTGGGAACGCTTAATCGAGATCCCCGTAGCGGCGTAGCGTGAGGGCTCATAGCCTGACCTGGACCTCGATCGTGTCGCAGCATCATCATCATCACACTCGCTGCGGACGGTAAAGTCGCATTGCGATGATTGGAGCGGGAATCACCCGGCGCACAGTGGCGCGCGATCACAGTTGGATCGCCTCAGAGCTAACTACGTTGCCCCAAAGGGCCTATGTGGAAGTGGCGGCACTCTTCATTCGGTATACAAGGATATAGCTGGTGGTGGAGAGAGCTTCCGGAAGAATGGATTGTGCAGCACTGTTGTCATCAGTGTGGTGCCAGTGAGCTGTTGCATTGGAACGAGGCTTGAGTGCAGCACAGTGACCGTGGTAGGTCCGATATGTTGGACAATCGCCTGAAGCTGATACGTTCTCCAGATAACACCTTCCAAGGAGGAGGGAGTCCATTGAGGAAACAGGACTTCTAGATCAGCATCGATGCGATGGTCACGTTTTGTAGCAATGCCCCGCTCATTGCTAAAGCGATTCAACTGTACAGCCACCGCTTCAGTACCTGAAATCAGGGCGTGGCGACGTTTCTGCGAATGCCAGCGGTTGATGCAGGACTGAGCTGAGGTGGCAACAGTGTCGGAGGCATCTTGCATTCCAGAGAGGATGAGGGGGCAGACCCCGCCTTCATCCTGGAGCGTGCGGCTGTCATCGTAGGACTGCCAGAGGCCTTGAAAGCAGGGTGCATTGAGGACCTGGTGCAAGTGAAGCAAAAAGTCTGCGGCATCATGTTGCCTGGCAGGGTTGTGCCAGCGCCGCAGCGCCTGTCTCCATGGCAGGAGGGACCAGAGCATCATTTGTGGCTGTTTGCGCGCCTGTGCGATGACGCTCTTTAGCGGTTCCCGGCCCAGTACCTGAAAGGATGAGGCAGTTTGGGACACAATCCAAAGAGAGGTCATGAGACAGGCATGGGAGTAACAGTAGTTGGAGGGATTGCGAAGTTGCAATGTTGGCAGGAGTGCTGAGGTCTCGGCGGCTGTCGCGGCATGGGAATGTTCATGGACTGGAGAAGGGACTGAAGCTGCTGTGCCAGGGCCGATCTCTGGAGGCGATCCGGACGGAGGGTGCAACCGACCATTAGGAGAGAGGAATTGTGTGAGAGGAGCTGGAGCAGTTCCCAAAAGCGAGCTGTCTGTTCTCCTCGCCATCCCACTTCCAGTAGCCAAGTCACCGTGCTGCCCTCCATTTTCTCCTCCAGCTGCCGAGTGGCGTGGAAGCGGTTGAGCAGCTGTGGTTGCACACTCAGCGTGGCCAGTTCTTTGGTCACCTCCACCACCTTCTGTGCCGTGAGCGGCTCCCGATCCGGGATTGTCTGCATGGTGCCTTCCTTGTTGTTCCACTTTCGGTACCCAAATCCCGTGTTCGGATTGTACAGCTCCATCTGGATGGCCTGCTCGCGTGCGTCCGCCTGATCGAGCACCTTCTGGGCACGCTGGGCCAGTTCGAGCATCAGCTTTTGCCATAAGATTATGCGCATCGGCTGCGCGATGGAGTCCGGGTCGTTCCATCGCATCTCGTGCCAGGCCTGAGCTGTGGCGAACAGCTTCGGGAGGATCGTGCTTTGCGTTTGGGTCGTGAGGAAGAGGATCCAGGTGGTGGACTGCTGTAGGACTGATAGAGCATCCTCGTGCCTCATCAGGAGCCTTGCCACGGTGTGGCACATGAGGTGCAGATCGGGACCGGAAGTAGGCCCGTAGCCCTGTCCTTGGCGGTGCCAAGGGGGCTGAGGGCGGAGGGGCGACCTCCCTGACGTCTCAGCTGTCCTTGGTATGGAGGCTTCCCTGCCGAGGCCTGTTGGCTCTGCTGTCCACGTCCTGCTGAGCCCTTCCCTTTCCCCGGAGGGGGGGCTCCCTTGCTGTTGTCCCGTTGCCACTTCGAGGGTCTGTCCGTGGTCTCTTCCGTAAGCGGATGGTTCGAGGAGTCCATCGGTCCGCCCTGGCGCGGGAGCTCGGCTGTCGTCGTTACCTGGGTCGTTGGATTCGGGATCAGCCTCACCTGTGCCTCGATGCTCTTGAGCTCGTGAGTTGCCTCCTCCAAGTCGTCCGGGTTCACCTGGTGCGCGTTGAACATCGATGGGAGGGTCATCCCGGACCTGAGTTGGGCTTGTCGTGCTGTGTTGTTCCAGCGTTGCTTGCAACAGGTGGACCAGGAATAAAACCGCACACTCAGTGGCGTGCTTGATGGGCGCGCCTGTGAGGGCAAGGCTGCAGTAGCGACAGGTGCTTCCAAGGGCCAAAAGCCTGCGGTGAGTTTGCATACGGCGCACTGCCTCTTCACAGCAGACAATCATCGGCGGGTGTTTTGCTTTTATGTGCGCTCGCAGGCCACGTGCCTGAGTCAGCCACTGATGGCAGTACGGGCAGTGTTGGACTGCCTGGGGGAACTCCTTTTTCAACCAGGAGGCAAGCTTCTCCCATGTTCCTAGGAGATAGGGCTGGCTTTCAGGCCTATGATACAGCGGCGTCGGGTTGAGGTTGTGTTTAGGGGGTAGGGCGTTGAAGCCGTCTGGTACCAGTGTTCTGCAGGACTTTGTGGAAATGTGGATTCGTAAGTTGCACCAGGAGTCACACTGTCGAAGACAGTGCCGGCACTGCGGCAAGCCTTCGCGGCCATGTTGCCAGACAAACAGAGCATGTTCGTCCGCCGCAAATGGGGGCAGCGTTGCTGGGGCCACGGCTGCATCTGGGTCCAGAGTCACTGTAGGAGTGGAGGAGGACTGGTCCGGGGCCGGGGCCTGAGCGGGAGCAGGGCTCATGCTCTGGATGGCAGGAGCCTGTCGTACTTGTGCGTGGTGAGATTTTCGCATGTGTAGGCGCACGGCTTGTGCAGTGCTGTAGCCTATGCCGCAAATAGGGCAACTGAGTGGCCGATAGCTGAGGGCGCTGCTGACTGAGCCTGTCTGAAGGGTAAGCGCTGTGCCAGGGGGATCTGATTCTGCGATGGCAGGTGCAGTTGAGTAGTCCTGCAGCTGGTCGAACCAGGTTTCCTGGGCGGCGGTGGGGAATTCCGGGACTTGTTGCAGGTGGCGCTGTATGCGCTGGTCTAAGGTGTCGCCTGGTGGGTCAAGGTGGCTTCTGCGAAGGAGATCGTGAGAGGTAACTTTGGTGGTGTGTCCCGGGAGTTTGTGGATGAGCCTGAGCTGGGCATGTACGAACTGGGAGAGGAGGGTGCGAGAATGGTGGGTAATGCCTGTCGCCTCAAGGGAGTAAAGGACAACCGGGTAGACGCATGTCTTCCACACTCGGATTTTGCTGTCTAGGGTCAAGGCGCGACAGCGGAGGACCTTGGCCAAGCGCCAGTAAGCCTGCCAGCCGAGCTGTATGCGGTGCTGCAGGTTAAGGGCCTCGTGGTTCTGGTATGCAATTCGAGCTCCCAGGTATGTGTGGTTGTCAACAATTTTGATTGGCATAGTGCCGCGACCGACTCTGAGCTTAATTGCGGCTTCGCCTGTTTCCAGCTTCGTGAGTCTGGGGCGAAGAGTACTTCTGGCCGCTGTGCCTTGAAGGTTGATCAGGAAGACAGTTTTTGTGGGCGAAACGCGGAGGCCTGATTCGTGGAGAAGTTGTAGTCCCGCCGCTCGTAGGCTGGACCGGAACTGCTCCTGCGTTCGTATGGTCCAAGAGGACCAGATGTCGTCTGCATAAAGGGTGGGCTCTCGCGGCAGCTCCTTCTGTTGTGTGGTGAGCTCTTGGAACCGCAGGTAGATCTTTGTGGTGGCCATGGACCACAAGAGGGGTGATAGACCGCAGCCCTGGCGTATTCCCTGTAAGAGCTCTACTTCATCTCGGTGCCCCGCCAGTTCGAAGCTGAGCTTGGCCTGATCGTGTATATGGAGTGCAAGCGCTACCTCCTCCGACGACAAGCCGGCTGCCAACATTGATTCCACAAGCTGGTCTCTGGGCAACGAGTCAAAGGCCTTGTCGACGTCGAGGCTCAGCGATAGGCCCCCGGCGATCTGGCAGGGGACTGCTCCTGAGTGGCGCAAGTGTCGCTTGGGGACGGCAGAGGCCGCCAGAGTGCGTGCCTCATGTAGGTGGCCGCAGACGCGGCTGATCGCGTCGGTGGTGCTGCGGTCGCGAACGTAGGCGAATTGTGGTGCCTGGCGGATGTAGGTCTCGGCCCTGTCTCTGATACGATCTGCTAACATCATTGCCAGTATCTTACTACCCGGTGGGAGGAGGCAGATGGGGCGCAATTGCTTCGGAAGGCGAGCCATGGAAACCTTGGGGATGAGGCATACATGCACTCGGTGCCAGTCCTCCGGGAGGTGGTAGGTCGGCGACTGGAGGCAGTGTCTCAGTCCCTCTGCAATGTCTGGCCCGATGACTTCTGAGGTGGTCTGCCAGAGTCGCGCTGGCATGTAGTCCGGAGGAAGGGCCTTCCGGACCGGAAGTCGGGCGAGGGCGCTGCTAACCTCCGCGTCAGTGAAGTGGAGATCCGTGGCAGGCTGTGGTGGGG